GGGGGGCTACAAAGGCAAGCAGTGACAAGCTTTCAAGTGGGAACCTAGATCCAGAGGGTGCAGAGGAAGGTAGAATCTCCACTGAGTAGTACCCAATCTGTCTGGGTGGGGTTGATGAAAGGAGATGGGGATAGGACTCTTGCGTACAATAATGAATAATTGCTATCAGGACTGACTGTGAGGGTTGGAAATGTAAAGGTAGACAGAAGTTTTGTAGCAAAAGGAGGGGAGTGGTTGACTTTGTAGAGCAGGATTCAAGGTCCCTGGGACCATCAAGGGCGAAGAGCGGAGTGCAGGACCCTACCCAGAGAAGCTGTGATGCCAGAGATGGAGGCAGAGATGACGACACGGAGAGATGGAGCAGCTGGTGACTCTAGACCCAGAGTGGGAGAGGGGCTGTGTGCTGACAACCGAGGGGCAGGCTTGTGGGGTATACCCTTTGGCTGGCTGATGATGCATGGAGGCGATTGTAATCATGGCAACGAAACGATATACGATAGGATGCATGTAAAGCTAATGTTCTCCCATGTAAACTATCACATAATTCACAAAACATTAAAAAAAAAAAATGTTAATGCTGTTTTGTGAGAATTATTTTCCCCATATAACATACCGACATAAACAACACACGTATAGCACTGATAGGAAGCTAAGGTGCAAGGGGGCTGAAGGGGAAAACATGTATAATGAATAGAGTTTTTGCATAAAAACAGGGTACAAGGAACCACAACAGATGCAAGATCTGGCAGAAGACTGGTGCCACCATCTTGTGACAGCAGACAGTATCTTGGGTCAGAGTATTGGCAGTGGCCTAGAGAAAATATATTTCTTTTCTCTACATCTTTCCATCTGTTATCTTTTAGCTACTTTCTTCCACAACCCATCTTCTTGAAATAGTCGATTTTCAACTCCTCAACCTCCTGTAATTTATTTTCCGTCTCTTATCATTCCACTGGTAGTGCAGTCAGTTCCAAGTCATAGCGACCCTGTACAGGGTTTCCGAGGCTGTAAATCTTTATGGGAGCGGAAAGTCTCATCTTTCTCCCATGGAACGGCTGGTAGTTTCAAACTGCTGACCTTGAGGTTAGCAGCCCTACTTGTAACCATTATGCTACATGTTTGGTAAGGTGGAGGGTCAGAGAAAAAGAGGAAGACCCCCAACGAGATGTATTGGCAAAAAGGCAAAGAGGCAGCTCAAGTGTGGCAACAATTGTGAGGTTGGCCTAGGACCGGGCAGTGTTTCATTCTGTTGTGCATAGGGTCGCTGCTATGAGTCGGTACTGACTTAATGGCACCTAACAACAACAATCATTCCACTGAAATTGTCCTGAGGTCCCAGTCACCTACATTCCCAAAGCCAGTCAACACTTGCTCTTCCTATCTTACCTGACCTCTGCTACATGTGCAACTGACCACTCCTTCATCAAATCCTTTCCTCCTTCAGCTCCTGGGCCATTATTCTCACCTGCTTTTCCTCTTTTATGCTTCCCTGTCTTCTCCCCAGTAAGCTCCGCTTCATTTTTAGGCTCTAGTTCTCCTCTAATGTTACCCGGAGCTCCGGTGTGACACTGTGGGTTAATGCGATTGGCTGCAAAGTTGTTCTGATTTGCAAGGTCAGCAGTTCAAGCTTACCAGTTGTTGTTGTTATGTGCCGTGGAGTCAGTTCCGACTCATAGTGACCCTGTACAGGGTTTCCGAGGCTACAAATCTTTACGGGAACAGAAAGCCTCATCTTTCTCCCACGGAACAGCTGGTAGTTTCGAACTGCTGACCCTGTGGTTAGCAGCCCGATTTGAAACCACTGTGCTACCAGAGCTCCTCAACTACTCGGAAACCCTATATAGGATTGCTATGGGTCAGAATCAAGTGGACGGCACTTAACAACAACTAAGGTTACATATACACACTCAAGAGTTCACTTCACAGTATGTATAATCCTTGGCAGAATTTAACACTTTTTTGCTGGTAATCCCCAAATTAACATCTCTGGCCCAAGATTCCTAGTGGTCTACTAGACTGCCTTACTTGGAAAAACATTAAAAATGCAAAAGGTCCAAAACCTATCGCCTTTTCCAGTCTCTCATTATATACCCTTGACCAAGCCAATGGGTAAAAGCATCCTAGACTCCCTTTCACTCACCAGCTAGCAGTTCTACTCTGTGCCGTAGGGTCACTGTGAGCCAGAACGGACTCTAAGGTGAATGAAGGTCTGGTGATGGGGATGAACTGCGCGTAGTATTTGAATGGCTATAAATCTTTACATATGCAGACTGCCAACATCTTTATTCCAGAGTATAGGGGAGTTCAAACCGCCAACATTTCAATCAGCTTAACCACTGTACCCCCAGCCACCAGGGCTCCTTAGACTTCTATCAACCCGCTGTTGTAAAGTAGATTTCAATTCATATTGATGCCATAGAGTAGAATTGTCCTGTAGAGTTTCCCAGGCTACAAATCTGTATTATGGAAACCAACCGCCACATCTTTCTCCCAAAGAGCAGCTGGCTGGTTCAAATTGCTGACTTTTTGAGTTAGTTCCCTAAGACATGACCACTGCACCACCAGGGCTCTAGACCTTCATACAAACAAACAACAAAAGACTAATCCCACTGAGCTGATTCTGATCCACAGCAACCCTATATCGGGTTTCCAAGGAGCAGCTGGTAAGCTTGAACCACCAACTCGTGGGTAACAGTCCAGTGCTTACCTTACAGAATCACCAGTGCTCCTTAGCCCTTCACTTGTTAACTGCCATCGAGCCGGTTCCAACTTACAGCCGAGCTTTCAGCTAGCAGTCTGGTACCTATCCTGTTGTTGTTGTTGTTAAGTGCCATCGAGTCGGGTCCGACCCATAGCGACACTGTACAGGGTTTCCGAGGGTGTAAATCTTTACCTGCAAATTCTATCTCCTTGGTATCTAATTGAGCCCCTCCTCTCAAATCCTGCTGTGGCTACTTTAATTCAAGCCCATGTCACTTCTTGATTGGATGATTGGAATCACTTCACAACCAATTTCTGTTTCCCATCACTCCCTCACATTGCTGCCAGAGCACAATAATTTCGGTGTATATTTGTTGGTTATATTCAATACAAATCTAACCACGTCATTTCTGCTTAAAACCTTTGGGAAGCTTTCACAAGGCTTCTTTGATCTAGCGCCTTACTATTACTGCCATCTTGCCCTCCCACCTACCTCTTCAGCCATTCATCTTTTTTGTAGGTTGTCCAAATGCCAGAGCTTCTTATGCCTCCCTTCCTCTGCATATGCTATTGCTGATACTGTTACAAGTCATCAAATTGGCTGGTGACTCATGGAGAGAACTGTGATTCGCAGGATTTTCACTGGTTATGTTTTGGGATGTAAATCACCGTATGTTTTTTATTGTCTTGGTCTATAAGCTCAGCTGAAACCTGTTGAGCATCACAGCAAAATGCAATCCTTCACTGACAGATGCGTAGCAGCTGTGCTTCAGTTGTAATAGGAATCAAACCCAGGTTGCTGCTAATATCTCCCCCTAACTCTCTTATCTAGTACTTCAGAGAATTACCACCTCAAATTATGTGTACCCTAGTGCCGGGCAGAAGTTCTGGTACTGTAGTGATTACAAGTCGGGCTGCTAACTTCAAGGACAGTAGTTTGAAACTACCAGCTGTTCCATGGGAGAAAGATGAGGCTTTCTGCTCCCGTAAAAATTTATAGCCCTGGAAATCCTGTACAAGGTCGCTATGTGACTCCAGAGCACACTACCACCACCAGTACTCAGTGGTTCAAGCTCACCAGCTGCTCCTTGGAAACCCTATTCAGGGTCACTATGAGTAGGAACCAACTCTACAGCACTTAACAAGTGTACATGTATGGGAGTCACACTGAGTGGTAGCTTTTCTGTCTCCCACTAAACATAAACTCCTAGATGGCAGTGGCCACCCACCTTATTGGATTTGCATAACCAGTAAATATTCATTGATAACTCTAATTTGGTATCTTCCAAAATTTCAAAAAAAAAGGAAGGAATATATTTAGTGGACCTTTTTTTTTTTTTTTTCCAATGTCTGGTATCACATAAACTGATACTACAAAGCCAAATATGCTTGATTGGAAAATACATCTGGTATCACATAAACTGTACTACAAAGCCAAATATGCTTCTGACTGGAAATACGGAGAAGATAACAAAGAACAACTCATTCCCTTTCAAAAGGAGAAATGCTGGGCATTTTGAGAGCCATGAGGTATCTAATAAATCAGTCTCGGGATTTTATACTCCAGGTGAGCAGGTGCTTATTTAAGACTGCTTGATGATAATGATGGGTGGAAGGCTTCTCACCTCAATGAAGCACAGTAATTTCCCTTGGCACGTTACTATAATTTAAGTTCCTGGTGCAGACTCTCTTTCACATCTCTAACCTGACAGGTTTCACCCCCCTTGTTTAGGAGGCGCTTACTCACCACCTCCAGAGTCATCCACTCGTCAACCATCATTATTCTCTACATCTGAGTGGGGGAAGGGGATGGAAGTTGGGGGAGTGTAGGGGATAATAAACACTTTTGGGAGGAGTGGCGTTTGGGAAATGCCAGCGCAGACAGCTGGCAGGGGGTGAGGAGGAGGATGCGATGACAAGCCTGCAGCAAAGAACAAGGGATTCTAGGTTGGAGGGACGGAAGGCTGGAGAAGAAACTCAGAGAACCAGCTGGGGGTGGGGAAGCAACGATCGGCAGAGGCTAGAAGACGCAGTTTTCGGTCGAGGGTGGAGCCACTTAGGGGGAAAAAATTGGCCGAGAACAGAACCCGCCACAGTTGCGGGTTGTTTGGGCTTTAAGACGTGGCAGGCAGAGTGTCTTCACAGTGCGAACTGGGGAGGACAGGGGGATTAGGGGAATGGAGAGTAGAGGCGAGCGCGGAGCAAATGGGAGACTTGAAGCCGCGGAGCCGAGGCCAAGGGCGTGAGGGTCAGGGTAGGAGATGGAGAAGTGAGGGTGCGGCAAGGCCAGGAACACTTACTGGGGTCCCTCCGCGCTGCGCCGCTGGATGTCTCCTCCCGCAGGTGAGGAAAGAGGAAGTCCCGGGCGGCCTGGAGGTCCTGGAAGTAGCAGAACTGGACCAAGGAGCAGGCCATGGCTCCAAGGAGCTGCACTCGGACACTCACCCTGTCTCACCACACCTAGCACCCCCGTCGCCCCTCAGCTGCAACAGCCAAGCCGGGACAGCTTTAGCCACGCAGGAGGCGGGGAAATCAGACCGGAAACTGTCAGCGCTGTCTGTCCCACTGCTTTGGGGCACTGCGCACGCGCCGGACGGCCCAGCCCTCCGGAATGAGGTCCGAGTCATGTGATTAGCCCCAAGGTCCAAAGTCAATGTCTTAGGTCCTATTTCTGCTCTTCCGCCTAGGAAGAACTCTGCAAACCTGGCTTTTAGCCAAAGGTGATCTTATTCGTTGGTGTATGCGCCAGACTTTGTGTCTTTCAACAAATACAATTGATATGTTTCCTGGCAGTCCATTGGGGGACGGTATTACACAAGTCTTGAATTTTGTTAAGCTGAATCTATCTTCCAGAAATCAGCCCATCAAGGCTGACCTTACTCCTGTAAATCCCCGTACTGTTGTTACACTGCATTGTACGTCTACGTTTTCGTCATCCATTTGTTTTTTCATTCATTTCTTCACTCATCCATTCAAGATAGATTTGTTGCTGGTCTTTTTCTTTCTTTCTTTTTTAATGCCAGTCATGTAGACGTTGAGTATAGAAAACAAAAGAGATGCAGTGCCAATTTCCATGGAAGTAAAATTCTAGTGGCTGAACAAGGTATTAAACAACTAATTACTCAGCTATTTAACGAAATTGTGAAAATGCTAGGAAGGAAAGAAGTACTATGACAGAATATACAGGAGAACTGACCTAGTTGTTTTTACTTGTTTTGTTTTGCGGGGGAGGCATCATGATCAGGAACCAATTTTACCATTTTAAACTCTTGGATGCTTGGGATCTCATTAACTTAACACTTTAAATTCCCGGTATCTTAAAGATTGTCTGTTTGAACCCACCCAGAGGCTTTTTTGGTAAAGACTGCAGTCAAGAAAACCGTATAGAAGCAGTTCTCTGTAACACATGGGGTGATCATGAGTCAGATGCAACTCCTGTGCAGCTAACAACAACATCAGCATAGGATCTGACACAAAGTAAGCATTTAATAAAAGTTCGTTGAAGGACTAAGCGGAACAGAATATGTGCTTGAACTAAATAGAATTTACAAAACACTTTATACTTCTAGAAGTACTTTTTTCCATTCATGATTCCATTGGATAGTTACTTGAAATGGTGTGACTTAACCCACTTGAATAATAAAGAAATCAGTCCTCGTGTCTCAGAGAAGTCTAGCAAAGTTATTTTCTAAAAAGTAAATGCCAAAGAAAGGACTTAGTTCAATGTTACATCAACGGACTGTAGGCACTCAAGCACTTCTCAAAGAAAACATAAATATGTCATATACTTTGTATGAGAGAGAAATTGATACAGGAATAAATTAAAGACAAATGGATGGGATCTGAAGCATTCCTTTCGGTCAGGCCTGTGTTGTTTTTAAGCACCATCAAGTCGCTTCTGACTCATAGCAACCCTATGCAGGGTTTCCAAGGAGTGACTAATAAGCTTGAACTGCCAACCTTGCAGTCCAGTGGTTTATCCCACAGTGCCACACCAGTTCTCAAATTTAGTGCCCAGGTACCTACTCCATCAATTTCTGTTTCTATAGTAGAATAATTTTCTCATAACAGAAGATGTTTTGAGGTTAAAAGGGATTGCTGTCAGGTTAAAAGGGATTGCTGCTGCCGTGTGGTGTCAAATCGGTTCCGACTCATAGCGACCCTGTATAGGGTTTCCGAGGCTGGGAGCAGAAAGTCTCATCTTTCTCCCACTGAGTGGCTGGTGGATTCTAACTCCTGACCTTGAGGTTAGCTAGCAGCCCATTGTGTAACCTACACCAGGCTCCTTTAACAGGGATTGTTGTTATTTTTAAGTGCCATGGGGTCAGTTCCAACTCATAGAGACCCTGTATAGAGCTTCTGAGGACAAGCTGGTGAGTTTGAGCCATAGACATTGCAGATCAAATCAAATTGAACAATGCCACAAAGCATGTTGTTGTTGTTAAGTACCATTGAGTTGGACCCATGGCAACCATACATAGGGTTTCCAAGGAGCAGCTGGTGAACTTGAACTGGCAACTTTGTGGTTCAAACTGACTTCGCAATCTAGCGCATTAGCTCACAGCTCAACACCAGGACTCCTTTGAGGGATCTTTAAATCTATAATCAAAGCTTGCAGAAGAAACAAGCTGTTAGTGTTTTCTTCTTCCGTCTGCAAAGATGCAATGCTTCCTCAGATCACCATTCACAGCAATCCAGTTCTAATGATGACACCTAAAAATACATGCACTGCTACCAAACTAAAATAAAATTTAAGTTCTTTGCCCTACTGGATGAGGAAAGAACACATGACACTTTTTGGAAGGATACAGTGTCATTCTTTGAAACTCATTCAAGTTCCTATTCAGGTAAATGCATTTTGTAGAAGTAACAGTCTTTGGCTGGTTCAGCTGGCCTTTGTTCTTCCCTGAGGCATTCATATATCTTTTGTAGGGCAGCCATTGAATTTCATTACTACGTTGGCTCAGTTTCAATGGTGAAGTTTCTGACTTCCTTCCAAATAGTATTGAAAACATTCATTCATGAATGTTTTTAAGGACTTTAGGTACCCTTGACAGAAATTATAACACATTGAAGAACTGAACTCTTCCCCAAGGAAGTTGAAAAGTTGCAGGGGGATGCTTCTAGAGATTGGCTGCTATGATTTCTGTGGAGTGTATCAGACAATGACTATCACAAACCATAAAATCAAAAGAAAGCACACTGAGGAAAATGTGCAGGCTTTCCATATTCCAGCATAGAGGGTCTGTCTGGGAGAGATGAGTTCAAGAGTTAAGAGAAACTCTCTGACCGAAATAAGAGCAGGAGGGGCACTTCTGTGCAATTTCTCCTGTATCCATTACTGTGACCAAGAGCATTGATAACTATTGTTGACGGAAGTAATTAGCACCAAGCCCTGAGGGTTGCTAGTTTTGTGGCTTACCATATGATCTATTCTGAGAATGTTCCATGTGCCCTGGAAAGAATATATTGTCCTGGGGACACCTGAGCCCATGGACAAGGACATAGCCACAGAGGGCTAGAGCTGAGAGTGAAGCAGCCAGCTGATAAGAAGTGAGGGGAGATGTACAAGAACACCCAAACTTACAGACAGTACCCACTTGACCTAGCCTTGATGGTTTGATAATTATAACTCGACGTGTTGTTGTTGTTAAGTGCCGTCGAGTTGGTTCCGACTCATAGCAACCCTGAACAGGGTTTCCAAGGCTGTAAATCTTTATGGGAGCAGAAAGCCTTATCTTTCTCCCACGGAGCAGCTGGTAGTTTCAAACTGCTGACCTTGTGGTTCACAGCTTGATTCGTAACCACTATGCAACCAGACGTCCTTATAACTCGACTAGAGGAAGATAAAAAAGAAAACAATTTTTGATAAAGGAAATGAGGATAAATTGCTACAATTTGATGAATTTGACCTATACTCATGGAGGTAATAGCCCAAAATACCAACAGAGAGGGAAGGAGTCTTCATATCAAGTATCAATGCTATCCCCTCTGTATACAGGGTCGATAGGGATGGGCAGCTTAGACATTGGCTACCTAAAATGAGGGGGTGATAAAGGCATGAAGTGACTGAATTACAAGGTTTCAAGAGGGAGTTTAGTTTAAGAGTGTGTGAGGGAATATACAATCCCCACTGAATAGTTTTCATCTTGCCTAGATGGGTCTGGGAAAAAGAGATGGGGATACAATTCTTATGATTCAGTAGCGAGTAATTGTTATCATGGCTAATTGCGACTGTCACAATTGTCAAGTAGAAGTTTTGTAACAAAAAAAGGGAGTAGTTAATCTTACAGTACAGAAACAGAGGACCCTAGGACCATCAAGGGAGAAGACCACAAGTGGAATGTAGGATCTCATCCAGAGAAGCAGTGACACCAGAGAGGGAGCCATGGAGAGAGAGGGAGCAGCTGAGGACTCTAGATTCATGGAAAGAGAGGGACTGAGAGCTGGTGGCCATGAGGGAGACTTGCAGAATGTGCCCTTTGGTGGTGTAAATTATTATATATGCCTCAGTGTTTTTTAAAAAAAGGAAAAAAAAAAAAAAGAGCTAAAATGAATTGAGAGAAATACTGTTAACTGATGGTATGTGGGGGGGGAGGGGATTATAATCTTCATAATGAAACAAAGTATATGATTTGTTGAATGTAAAATTGATGATCTGCCCTGTAAACTTTTACTCAATTCACAATAAAAACTTAAAAAAAGAATGTGTATTCATATAACTGTTATTATATGAAATGTTCTACCTTTGTCTATGAAGATTGGCTGATTGTGTTTTTTAATTCTTCGGTGTCTTGGTTGAGATTTTTGTTGAGAATGGTACACTAAAGTCTCCTACTATTATTGTGAAGTTGTCTATTTGTTTCTTCAATT